CTCTCTCTCTCTCTCTCTCTCTCTCTCTCTCTCTCCTCTCGCAAACAACTGCTCAGTTAGAGCTGTGATGCGAGCGTTGCCTAACCAGAAACCAATGTCTCAAACAGAATGCAAGCATTTCATCACAGATCTGATCAGAGCATTGAAAACATCCAAAACGAAACTCTAATCGTTTATGTAATGTAACGGCATTTCATGCGATTCCCCTTTCAATGAGACATTGCATCCCTTCTTCCTATTGTGTGTTTCCCCAAAGAGTCGGTCTTAGTCTTAGTCTCATAAGCGATGCCATTCTCTTAGTTCTTTGAGTTCACACAACATCCCAGCGCTCAATACATGCACTTCTCTTTGACTCAAACATCAATCAATACAAATCGATTTAATCCCTTAAACTATAATAACTTTAGTTAATGCGTGTAATATATAGCCATTGCCGACAACTTTCACATATATTTATCCGTTTTGCACAATATTTGGCTTCTTTTGCTTTGAATCCTTTTCCCTTTGCTATTGACTTCCCTTTTAATCCAATTTCATTATCTCCTAATACTTAATCTCCTAATAGCTGTTCTTTTATTTGTTTATCTCTTTTATTCAATTTCTTTATCCAATCAAGAAATACAGTATTTCTTCTGTTTATTTATAATAAAATAATTCAATTTCTTATGTTTTATTCATTTATTCATTGATATTATTTTGAGTTTTATTATTATTTATGTTTTGCATTAATTTATGTTTATTTGCTTTTCATATGTTGTTTGTATTGAATAATTTGCCACAAATGGCATTAGACTTACGCAAACACTTCATCAATGAGCCGCTGTCGCAGACCGTAGCCCTTAGTTCACAAACCAGTTTTACTTGTTTGCCCCCCGAAGGGGACCCCAAACCAACCTTATTCTGGCTTAAAAATGGACAAATAATCAATGCTAGCACTGGTGGAGCCACACAACTCTGGGACCACTCGGGCTCTGATTTAATACCCGAGAATCTGGCGGTCGATCACCAGAACTACTTCATAGGACACGACTCGTCACTCATTATAAAAGAGGTGACCCTCGCAGACAATGCCAATTACACGTGTGCCGTACGAAACCCGGCCGGTGTTAGGTATAGCGAAGTGGCACAGTTGACAGTGTTTGGTGAGACCATCCCTACACCATATTTGCCAAACTTCTTCGTCTATTAACTTTCTCTCTCCGAGCTTTTAATCCCTTTTCACATCACATATAGAGTACTTAAAATACAATCAAACGAAATATAACACACATTCAGTATTTTTTAAATCCTCTGCTATTTTTATTACTAACCAAATGCTGTAAAACATAATGCTATAAAACCTAATCGTATTACTTTGCGAACGGCATATATAGTGAACGGCGGTTGGAGTGAATGGAGCCCCTGGTCCTCATGCAATGCGGCCAATAAGTGTGGCCGAGGGTCGCAAAAAAGGATACGTTATTGCAGGTAATATTCACCACGATTTTTATCATTCATTCATTCATAGCTGTCTTTTTCGCTGTCGAAAGCCCTATGAAATAGTCATAAGTTTTTCTCTCTGAAGACATGGTTTGAATTATCGCACAATTATCGCATAAATCATAGCAAACAATGAGTTTTCTCGGATGAATTCATTTAATTTTCAATAGACTTGACGCGAACGATGAATAAAGCATAATAATTGCACATTTTTCTGTAAATGTCGCTTAAATTAATTATATTATATATAATGTAGTATTTATGACTTGATATAAAACTTTTCACAAAATCAGAGATAATTTGTGCGCAAAATATTGACTTTTAGTTTCTTTACGAAGACTTATGCCTCGAAAGCATAGCATATATACTCTAAAGAGTCTTTGACTCACAAAAATAATTGTAGGTTTGACTTGAGTTCTAGTTTACATCAATATATTATATTCAAGTGAATAATAAGATTTAATATATAATACAGAACTATATATTTTCCATGACATGACTTAAGATTCTTTTAAAAAGAAATAAATTATTATAAAGAAAGTAATTAAGACTTAAAATTCAATGTTTTCACTAGTAATCCAAGTCCTGTGAACAGCGGACAGCACTGTACGGGGGAGTCAACCCAAACCAGTGATTGCAGTGTTATATGTAATCCAATTCATGGCTCGTGGACTTCTTGGAGTAAGTTATTCCTCTCATTTCACTTTTTGGCAAATAATTAATTGAATGCTTTGTTAATGTAATGTACAGGCAGTTGGTCCACCTGTTCCCACGAGTGCTCACAAGTCAGTTGATTAGTTCATTTAAATTAATTAATTCCTGCATATATTATAACAATTTTCAGTAATGACTTAATTTACTATTTAAACCCCAATTCAGGTGAGACGTCGTATTTGCAGTAATCCTCCGCCAAAACACGGCGGACAGCACTGTATTGGACACGACTTTTTGATTAAGAACTGCACCGGAGGAATGTGCAGAAAGTTGGGTAAGCATTGTATACATGTTATATAATACCCGTAGTATTGACTCAATTTGTGTACATTTTGTGCTGACTTTTCTCTAAATTAAAACTTAATGAAAACGCGCGTCAATTATGAAGAGTTTGTGTTTTGTGTTTGAGTTTTGTGTCTGAGTTTCCTATCGGAAGCACTTTCTCACGGCTCTAATGTTCGGAAGCTTTTATCCCAACATATAATACACTGACGTTAGAGTCACTACTATTAGACAAAAGATTGAATAATAATACCATTCAAAGCCATTTGCTGTCCAACAATAAGATTTTGGCAAAACTCGTTACAGTTATCTGCTGTACACTATTGTCGAGTCCATTACTAGGGACTGGATTTGTGAACAACTAATGCATTGACTCAAACATATCGTATGATATCTCAGAGAAAATTAATATTTAAGAAGTGAGTCACAAGAAGACTGCTTTTGGATGTATTAACTCTATTGTAATTGTAATTTTATAGTTTGCTATAAAAACCAATGCCGTAGTTATGTTGTTATGTTATGTTTGATTTGATTCACATCCCGGCTATAACTCGACAAACACTGTAACCCATCAAACGATATAATATTCCTCTTTATCCCAATTTATGGTTAATATCGATGTATTCATTGAATATATACAGAGAGCTATCAAAAGCTTTTCACTCTTTTTTATGAGAGACGACTGTCAGTGAAAACTATCGTTTGTGATATGGTTTAGGCTTTAAAAGCATAAAATTGTAAAAATACATAAACATATCAACCAATTTAGGGATGAATATGAATGAGATTTACAATTCACAGTATCACAGCTTTTATCACATATACATTTTAGTGCCCTAAAACTCTATCACTCGGTCTCTCATATAATGCTAATACACTTTGGGGTCGATTGCATAATGACTGCTCTGTAATGTAACTAAAGTTAGAGCCGCGAGAGAAGAGCGGAATATAGTATCAGTTATTTGTTTAACAATTACTGTAGTAATGGTTAGTCAACACGACTGTCGACAGTCCCTGATTTGGTCTACAAAACGGAAGATTGCATCCAATGGTCATCCAAATGGCTATAAATCGGTTTCAGCTCTGATTAGTTGCGTTGAGTCTCCTATTAATTGAGTGAAAAGGCCTTTTGGTCGGACTGACAGAAAGAAAGAGATGGCGAGAGAGAGAGAGAGAGAGAGAGAGAGAGAGAGAGNAGAGAGAGAGAGAGAGAGAGAGAGAGAGAGAGAGAGAGAGAGAGAGAGAGAGAGAGAGAGAGACGTATACTGTCATTGAAACGGTTGAAAAGTTTTTGATGTATAGTTATTGGGATGCAATGGATGTGTTTGCGATGTTTTGTTGCATAGACTCCTCTGTTCTCCTCTTTAGAGGTTCTAGTCTTGAGTTTTGCCGATTTGTTGTAAGGAATGAGTCACTGCTCTGTAGTTTCCCAACAAAACTGCTATTCTCTCCGACATTACTATACAGTAGTTGTGATCCATTTCTCATACAAATGCTAACATATCAGTCAATTTCATCCTTCCTTTCTGGTGCTCTTCATCTCAATTCCATTGCAACTCGTTTTATGTCTTTTTCTTTCCATAACTTAGCAAACTATGTATCAGATCCTAGAGATCACAGACCATTAAGTGCATCACTAGAACACTGAGAGTCAGTGGAGGCCATTCACTGCCTTCTCCTCTCCTACTACTGTAGTCACTGACTGACAAACCATAGCACAAGTCAGTCACTCATCCCTCTCTCCCTTCTCTATCCTCTCCTACACAACATTTTGATCTATAGCTGCAGAGCATTGCGAGAGAGAGAGAGAGAGAGAGAGAGAGCTAAGAGTGAGCGAAATGATTATCCGAACGACAAGTAATAATAAAATGCTTTTAATGTTTAAGTTGTTTAAGTGCTCATCAAATGAATGAAACGTATAGTTGTTTAACGAAAAACAGCAATGAATGCGAAATACATTACTATTTTGTGTGCTTTTGGATCGGCTATTGGGCTGACAGTTGTCGTTGTCGGGAGTGGAGAGACTGTCGGCCCATAACTGATAGACAGCACTGGCATCGAGTGGAGTGAAGACGAGGACAAGTCATGAATGGAGAGGCTGTGAGACTGTGTCTAATTGAAGGCGATATTGAAGGCCGACATCTTTCCATTAGGATCGGCAATACATCGCCAATACATGCCATTCACTCAATACTATTACCCGTCAAAAGCATTAATTTTTTATTTTCTCTTCCATTAGAGCCAATCTTTCTCTCAATTCTGTTTAATACGAGTGAGCCGTCAATCCCTGAAGTGCTTCTCTAATAGCCTTTCCACTAATCTATGAATTATTTTTAGGCCAAAATTAAAGCCAATATTTGCGACGATGGGCTCATCACTCACTCTATCGCACCAACACATAACCTGTCCTAACCTAACCCATCACACCATCGCATCCATGATTCACATCAATTTAATTAACTATTGTCTTAAACACGACATTCAATTCAATGTATTTCTTTGAATTATTTGTTCATATATTACTATTTTTATTCCCACTAATGATTAACTTTTTATTTAATTTATTAATATAATAATTTATTTTATAAATATCTATACAACAGATCCAATTAACGGGTATAATATATTGTGTAAAGTATTATACAGTAAATTTAAACCACTAATAAACATATTAACAAAATATATGTTGTTTTAGTTTACAAATGCAATAACAAAATATTTCAATTCAATATGTGTTTCAATAAAAGGAATGTTATTTTATTTTTATAAATGGTTTTTTGTGTTCAGTTATAGAAAATAATTTGAGAGAAGAAAGTAAAACAAAAATAAGAGCTGATGTGTCGTATTTTTGACATGAATTTTAGCCAAATGTGAAAAAAGTAGTTTTGACTTATATTTTGTTTGCAAAACACAATCTTTTTTAATAAAATTCATATCAATTTCTTAGCGAAACTTGCATTTCATGCAATCGTATGAATATTTGGCATTTCTTTTCGTATGCCTTTCACATGGCTTTTACTGAGAGAGAAAAAACTGTTCAATCCATTTGCCATTTAGAGACCATAACTATTGATTTAAGAGCACCTATACCTCCAATGCCTGTGCCATGTATGCCATGTCTGCCATATCTCTACATAATTCATGGATCAAATATTCTTCAGACAGTTTTTATAACTCAATATCGAGTGGAATAAAGTATTAATCTTTTTATTTCGGTTTCCAATACACATTTGAAATGCATTTTTTAGATTAGTCTTATGGGAAATACACATAACATGTATGTGTTATATAACTATAAGACTATTTGATTGGCCGACACTTGCATTCAAAATAGGATTATATTTCTCGAGTGCAATGTTTTGGTCAGATATACACACAAATGGACTACAGATTTATTCACAATGTTTTTCTCTTTCCTTATATTATATAATTTTATTTTCCAATAAATCGATCGCTTTTTTGAATTCTTTGAATCATTTGTTTGTTTCGTAGGAATACTATAGAAATAACACAGAATTTTATCGCAACTAAAAGACTAAAGAAATATAAAAATCAAATAAAACATAAAAATCCAAATCAAAATTGACAACAAATTCATTTTCTTTTGCGGAGAGAAAAAACAATAAAATACTTTCTTTCAATTGAAAATCGTTTGATTTTAATTAAATTTCTCATGACTTTCACAAAACAGGGATAGTATGAGAGGACAGCGGAGGGGATGAGGGGGTGGTGTAAAAGAGAGAGACATTGAATTGCATAACGTTATAAAACAACAGTCTATTTCATAAAATTGTTTTTTGTCTCAATTTTTTGGAGACAAAAAACAACACTCAATGCAAACGAAACGGAAAATACTTTTAATAATAATGTGAAGAAATATACGATCAGAAAGAAAATGGAAAGAAGTTTTAATATAAGTGACAGTTATTTTTGTTTTAAAATTGATTGCATATAAAGATATAATATTAAACCATAACTTAGAGAGAGAGAGAGAGAGAGAGAGAGAGAAAGAGTTGAAAATAAAATTTAATATAAAAAGTTGTTTAGCCATCGGATCAGTAGTAATGTCTGATTTTTTGGCGATATTATTATAGATATTAAAGTGAGTTAAGAAAATGAAGTCTAAGTAAACATTGAATTGTGTAATAAGTAATAACATAATGTTTTATTGGCGATCAAATGAAAATATATTGAAAGCAAAGGCAACGAAGAAATGAGAGAAAACAAAAAAAACTAAAAGCATATAAAACTTATTCAATTGAGACACGAAATTGTGGGACGAAAGACCACTTTCGGTCTATAACTATATAATATATCAAATTCTGTACACTATATGTGTGTATATTTGTTATGACAGACATTATGAAAGGTCGGCTAATATTGCAGAATAACTATTCTATTACTGCATAGACCGGAGAGAAACATGACTACAACCGCCACCACAACCATCACAATCGACTGGTGCCTAACAATTGATACAATTGTATATCCAGTGCGCGATTCTGTGCACTGGCCTATAGGAGAGAGCACTTTGTCAAATAAGTTTTGGTTTAATTCAAAAAAATGAGTCCAAAAACAAACAATTGGTCGTTTGAAGCAATTTTTATATTGCAATACCATTACTGTAATTGTAATAAGTTATTCAATTTCATATATTAAATATATAAGTGAACTCAACTGAACGGCTAAATAATGCAATCACTTTAATAGCAGCCAATTCTCGATAATGTGCTCTAATTATATTCAAAATAATACACACAGTATTTCTATACCAATTTGTTGCCACTTATCATAATTATTTTTGTTTTATTATTACATTAATAAGAGTTATACACTTTACAGCGAGCCATACACTTATTACCAGTGTATGAGTGCTGTGCCTCTATAATAGCTCATTGAGTTATAAATAAATATAATTTATACAAAATTTTATTCAATGTTATTAATCATTGAAAAATATATACAGAAAATCATATTATTTAGAAAATTGTTTCCAAAAAACTTTTGTTTTATTTGTTTAATGACTATTGCATTAGAAAAACATATCCATTCGTTTGGCTTATGTTATAAGTTATGAAATGTCGGCAATTGGCCATCCATTTGGGTTTTATTATTATATTTCAATTAAAGCAAAAGGTTTTTAAGACAGATTGTAATGAAAATTGAAAGCGAATGTGGAGGCAGTTTCTCTCTCTCTCTCTC